ACTCTTCCTCTTTAACTCCAAATCTCTATGTAATGTCTCTCGTCTTCACTTCCCTTCATCTCTGTCTCCCATTTCTTGCTCCAATCTCTTCCAAGATACTCCCACCAGTGCTCTTAATCACTTTTCTTCCTGTCTTCTGCAAGTCCCTTGTTATAACAACTAGAGTCCATTTTATTCCTTCTATTCATTTCTAAGGGGTCCTTACCTTCCTACAAACGAACTCTCATTCCCCCTACTATAAATTTTTCCTTTGATGCCATTTCCATTAAAAATAACAGGATGCTTTGGGAGGGTAAAGGGTGATATTTTGATGGTATCTGACTAGAGACTCATGAATATCCGGATTCAGCCACCTCTCTTCAATGACCCTGAAAGAGAGTTTGCTAAATGAACAAAACAAAGTAACATTTCACTATTAACCAGAGCTTTGTCCCAAAACACAAATATAGAACTCTAGTGAACCAAGCCAAGCTACATAGAGGACTCATTTTTCCAATGTCAGACAGGTCTCTGTACCTACTGTTCAAAGAAGGTCAAAGGCTGTTCTGTTATTTCCATCCTGAAGTCCAATTTGGGCTCTTATCCACCTACCAGAGCCAAAGGTAAGAAGGAGAGAGAAACAGAGCAAGTTTGTCCCAAACCTGGTATGAAAGAAAGACGGAACTCCCAGATGAGAATTGCCTCCAACATCTTATCTAAACATGGAATTATCCAAAAAGGCCATATGCACATGCACACCAATGTTTAACTCCCCACAGTGACTCCACCTACTAGCAAATATAACTAGGTAAAAATTTTAATTTCTACAACTTTAAGTAATAATAACGATTAAGTTAAAATCAAAAGACTGGGAGGAAACATTTGCCACATATATAATCGATAAAATAATTACACCAAATATATAAAAACTCCTAAAAATCAATAAGAAATAGTCAAACACCATAGCAAGGACAAAGGACAAAATCTGAAATTCATAAGTAATCAAAAATGGAAAGATGCTTAACTATATTAATAACCTGTAAAGATCAAATTTAATCAATAATGAGATATTTTTATCTATCAAATCAATCGAAGTTAAAACTTAAAAAGTAATTGATGTTAACTGGAGTCAATTTACAGTACCTACAATTTTTAGGCACCCAATAATTTTACTTCTCAGGACCAATAGAAATATTTACACATGCACAAAAATAGGTCTAGAGGTATTCATTCACTCTGTATTTTTTTAAATAGTGAAGAAATGAAAATGTCCTAAATATTTTACAAATATAGGAATAGAAAAAATGGATTATATCTATGGAATTAAATGCAACAATTTAAAAGAATACTATCCATCTAGGAGGTCACAAGCTCATTGCCCTGTTCACCCTGTCCCTCGCTCATCGCCCACAGCCTGCCTCACCCACTTGCACACCCTGAAGTTGCCCTGCAGAAATGTTTTGATTACACGAAGTCCTTTGCCAGGTTAGGCCAGTGTCCAGGGCACTGGCTCCTCAACTCATTCAGGCTTATGCCAAAGATATACAATTTGGTGCAGATGCCTGAATCTCAATACTTCAATATCTTTTAGCCAATGCTGTAGTCATTATATGGGGCCAAAAGGAAGAGCAATGATATTGAACAGAGTTGAGGAAGTCCCAAAGTAAAAAAAGATTGTATGACCATTGTGAAATCCATTGACTTAAAAGGAAAATATAAAAATATTGGCACTAAACTTGTTGAAGATGTTGTCAATGATACGAATGAAGAGGCTGGGGATGGCACCGCTACTGTGACTATACTGTCACGCTCTATTGCCAAAGAAGGCTTTCAGAAGATTAGCGAAGGTGCTGATCCAGTGAAAATCAGGAGAGGTGTGATGTTAGCTATTTGTGCTGTAATCGCTAAACTTAAGAGCAGTCTAAACCTGTGACAATTCCTGAAGAAATTACTCCGGTTACTACAGTTTTTGCAAATGGAGACAAAAAAATTGGTAACATCATTTCTGATGCAGTGAAAAGGTCAGAAGAAAAGGCATCATCACAGTAAAGGATAGAAAAACACTGAATGATGAATTAGAAATTATTGAAGGCATGAAGTTGGATAGAGGTTATATTTCTCCATACTTTATTAATACAATAAAGGTCATGAATGTGAATTCCAAGATGCCTATGTTCCAATGAGTGAAAAGAAAATTTCTAGTGTACCTGCTCTTGAAATTGCCAGTGCTCACCATAAGCTCTTGGTCATAACTTCTGAAGATATTGATAGAGAAGCTCTAAGTACACTCATTTTGAACAAGCTAAAAGGTGCTCTTCAGATTATAGCAGTCAGAGCTCCAGGTTTTGGTAACAATAGAACTAGCTTAAAGACATGGCTATTGCTACTGATGGTGCAGTGTTTGGAGAAGGATTGACTCTAAATCTTGGAGATACTCAGCCTCATGACTTAGGAAAAGTTGGAGAGGTCATTGCGACAAAAGATAATGCCTTGCTCTTGAAAGGAAACAGTGACAAGGCTCAAACTGAAAAATGTATATTCATGAAATCATCAAGCAGTTAGATATCACAACTAGTGAATATGAACAGGAAAAACTAAATGAACATCTGGCAAAACTCAGATGAAGCAGCTGTACTGAAGGTTGGTGAGACAAGTGATGTTGAAGTGAATGAAAAGTAAGACAGTAACAGATACCCTCAATGCAACATAGCTGCTGTTGAAGAAGGCATGGTTCTGGGAGGGGGTTGTGCCTTGCTGTGGTACATTCCAGCCTGGGACTCATTAACTCCAGCTAATGAAGATCCAAAAATTAGTATAGAAATTATTTTTAAAAAACAATCAAAATTCCTGCAATGATCATTGCTAAGAATGCAAGTGTTGAGAGATCATTGATAGTTGAGAAAATTACAAAATTCCTCAGTTGTTGATTATAATGCTATGCTTGGAGATTTTGTATGATAGAAAAAGGAGTCATTGCTTTGACTAAGATTTAAGATTTATTGGATGCTGCTGGAGTGGCCTCTCTGTTAACTACAACAGAAGCTGTAGTCACAGAAATTCCTAAAAAAGAGAAAGACTCTGGAATGGGCAGAATGGGCAGGATAGGAGGTGGTATGGGAAGTAGTATGTTCTAATTCCTAGAATAGTGCTTTATCATTGAGAACTGTTGAGAAGGACCCCCAGGTAATCCTCTAATTACCCTCTGTAGGACTCACATATACACCCACCTGAGATCCATTATTCAGACCACCGAACGTGACCAGACCTCTGGCATCTATCTTTTAAACCACCATCATCCTAACTGATAAATGATCTAGACCAATCCTATGGCCTAGAATGCAGGACTGGTAATTCTCAAGAACGTACTTTTTACTATAAGAACTTTTAACTTTTCTCTTTTTCTTTGGACACTTCTGTCGTTTTGCCTACCTGTGTTTTCAGGTTGCAAACTCTAAGATCCTTGAATAACTCTCAATCATTTATTTCTGGCAAAGATCCAGACTCCATCCAAGTTCATTTGATAGATGTAAAAATTATTTATATCTGTGATATATATGTAGACAAATGCATATAAAAAGGCCTAACGTATACACATCTTTTACTGCATCAAATAGTGTCCCCCCAAAATTCATGTCCACCTGGAGCTTCAGAATGTGAACTTATTTGGGAGAGGGTCTTTGCAGATGTAATTAGCCAAGTGAAAATGAGGTCTTACTGAATTAGGATGGGCCTTAAATCCAATTACTGGTGTTCTTCTACAAAGGCCATGTGAAGATACCCAGGGGAGAAGGCCACATGAAGATGGAGGCAGACTGGAGTGACATGGATACATGCAAAGGGACGACAAGGACTGCTGGCAATTACCAGAAATTAGGAGAGAGGTGTGGTATAGATTCTCCTTTAGAGCCTCCAGAAAGAACCAACACTGCTGATATCTCAATTTCAGACTTCTGGCCTCCTGAACTGTGAGAGAATAAATTTCTGTTGTTTCAAGCCACCCATTTTGTGATAATTTGTTACAGCCACTCTAGGAAACTAATATACCCTGTTTAAAGCTCTAAGGAAAAGATTCTATATATTTCTATATTGTTTGAATATTTCACAGTAAGAATTTATTCTTTCATGCTACTTTTTTGCCAAAAAAATAATTAATAAAGAAATTACCCACATTTTATGTTGGAAGTTTCAGCCACTTAATCAAGTATGAAATCTTGAAATCATTTATAAGAGTCTCAATCACTTCATCTATAAGATGGGGAAGTTAAAATCTATCTGCTCACTTCCCAGGCTCGCACTGGAGTATTCTTGGACCCTTCTTCTCTCACTGTTCACATTCATTCTTCCACCAAAATGGCTCTAGCTGTGAATGCCTTTCCATTCAGCCTACCATCCCTGTCTTTAATCCATGTCTTTGGCCCACAACAGACTCATTTTACCAAAACACCACTACATGTTCCTTTCCTTTTTGAAGCATTTCAACAGTTCCTTATTACCTATTAAATTAGATCCAAACTTCTTAGCTTAGTTCAAGAACTTCTACCTTCAGAGTACCAACTACCTGCCATCATTGTAGTGGGAAGCCAGATTCATAGACAAACTTTGAACCTTGAGTCTTACTTTTTTCAACCATGCCACTGAGTATGTTTTTTCCTGTAAATGGATTGTCCTCCACCCTAAGCCCCTTTCCAGCCTGAAGGCTTCTCCTATGGCCACACAATGGAAGTGATTTCACTTTCCTTTGAATTCCTGTAGTAGGAACTCTCAGTATCTTATGTATTTTAATTATTACCCATTAAACTGCAAACAACTTTTGAGAGAAAAAACTTTATTCATCATTGTGCCTAGCACAATATCTTATGGAGAGTAGGTAATCAATACATATTTGTCGGATGAATGACTAACAATTATAAAACACTTGACCTTTATAGAATGAATATTGTTTCTAAAAATAAAAAAAAAAAATTATAAACAAATTATTTTCAGCCAGATATACCAGTAAGGTTACCCTGGTTGTAACACTGCCCCTTGCCACCTGAATACTTTCCACTATGATTGTTGTCCAGGCCTCTCTTCCCCTGAAAGATTCTAGATTCCCACAGTATCCCAACTGAAAAATTAATCTCTTGCACAGCAGGGAGCACTCAAGACTCTGCTCCAACCATGTGGCCAGGTTACACTTGTGTAAGTATCCATTCTGACTGATCAAGACCTGGGCAGTGTCACTATTAAATATTTTGATAATCTCCCCTGATAATAAATAAAATTTAATTATACAATTTGAAAATAGTTTTTCTCCTCATTGAAAAATCTCTTAAAAGAATTAGCAGATTCAGGACTAGAAAAGAAAAACGACACTTTGTCAGTCTCTGAAGACTTAGGGTATATCCATTTAGGACTCAGTCTTCATGTAAACCAGAAGATATGCAGTTTCCTGCCTAGAAAGAAAAAAAAATACAACATCATAGCATAAATGAAACATTCATAGTTAACTGGTACATTATTAATTCATGATAGGACAAACATCAGCAAACTTTCCAGGTTATTGGATCAAGCGTTCATCTGTCCATCACCTCGAAGGGAAACAAAACAGGTGATCTGGGAAAATAACCCCTAAACTGCTGTTAACATTTAAATCAGGAGTTCACAAACTATGAACCTATGAGCCAAATCTGACTCTGTTTTTGCAAATAAGTTTAACTGGAACACAGTGACTCTCATTCATGGTATAATGTGAAAATTATGTAAGCAAACAATTACAAAACAGTGTAACTCTTTCTATAAAGGTGGTATGCTCAAAATGCAGTGAAAGCACATGACAAGCCCCTACAGATCTGCCTGGGTGCAAGCTTTACAGAGTAGGAAATGACCACGAGTAGAGGTACTGAAGCATGAAGGGGACTTTGCCTTGATGATAAATTAAAAGAGGGTAATACTGGCCAGGAACTGCATGTGCAAAGCCACAGAGAGAAGATGGAGGATATGATGTTTGGGGAGCTACTTACACTTTAGTACTGTTAAAGTCTAAACTGTAAGAAAATCATGGAGTAGTGAAAAGAATATTGAAAGATAAAGCTGAACAGTTTAGTCCCTGGGGAGTTATGCAAATATAAGCAGTAGTTGAATCCATGAGAGTTTCCTACAGCAACAAGAACCCTTTACAAGCTCACTGGGTTTCCATCACTCAAATACTTCTCTTACCAGCGGTAGTTTTGATTTCCATAGGTACACTGGATATCCTCCCAGGATACCTGGAAGTACAGAAACATATAAAGTGAAGCAGCCAGGGGACATTTGTTAAGCATCCAGAGAGTACAGGGTGCTACAACTTTCCCTCCCTCACTCTTCCAGACAAACCCATCCTTAGGAACTCCCAATACCCATAGCATCTAGTGATATACATGAAGTCTCTCTTAGCATACTTTAAACCTGGTTATGCTAAGCCCAGAGTTCTAACTTATATTTTCTAACTCTTCTTATTTTCCATAAGTTTCCCATAGTGCATGAAGTTGCAGGGCCCTGAGCCTAGAACACCAGAAACCTAGACTCTGAGCTAAGTAGACTCTTACAGAGCTGTAAACCAGATGGGTATTCCATGCAGAAATCAGCTTCAAACCTCATAAAATGGCCCCGCACAGAGAGAACAGGACCATAATGTGGCTTGATCTTATGGATGAGAAGAACTCATCCACCCCTGGGCTCAGAATAGGTAGCTAACCCAATCCAAGATGTTGATCCTCACCCAACAAACATTGGAGTCGTTGAAACAGAACCATTTTCCATCCACAGAATTCCAGATATAAGCACAATAATGACCAAAGTCAGCCAGCCCCACGTGGGCAATCACAGCAAAGAGTTCATACTGTCCTCCAATCTAGAAGAACACAAGACAAAATGATTCATCCACCATCTCTTCTTTTCTAACCCTGGTTTAGAATAAACAAATATTTCATCACATTTATTCAGTGCCTACTCTATGCCAGGTAGTGGTGCTTCAAAAGAACTATAAAACAGTCCTTGACTTCAAGAAGTTCACAGCTAAGTAAGCCAGAATTAGAATGCCATGTTTTGTACCAGGTATATTTACAGGTAAATTTGAGAAGACCCAACTTTTCCCCCAAGAAAGGAGAAGGAACAACCAAACAGCTGAGGAAAGCTTGAGGAGCTGGGGAAAGCTTCCCAAAGAAGACATGCTTTAATTGCTCTTGCAAGATGAATAAGAGTGGCAGACAAATTATGGAAAGGAGGCATACTTGAATGTAGACCCAGAAATGGCAAAAACTTGGCAGCATAAAAGAGCAGAGCATACTGAGGAACAGGAAGTCAGAGAGGGTGCTGGGAAGTCACAAGAGATGAAGCTCCAAAGGCCAAGTTAGGAATTAGAACTTTATCCCATGAGTAACTGAGAGCCATAAGAAAGTTTTAAGCTTTAAGTTTTAAGCAGAGGAGCATGACCAGGTCTGTGTTTGAGAATACATTACTTGAAATAATATGGTTTGAAAAATGGATTAAGAGTCCAAGTGAGACAGAAGCCAATAACATGTTAGGTTACCACAGTAGTGCAAGGAAGAAATAGTGACAACTTGAATAATTACTATCAGTAGTAACCACTAAGATGATAATAATCATTATTGACATAATATTTATTAGCTAACTTTTAACATTCACTGTGCATTTGGCCAAGTCTTTACGCATATTATTTCATTTAATATTCACACAAACCTATAAGCTGGGTGCTAATAGGTTTTAATAGAAGTAGAATCTGATAGAAGTAGAATCTGATAGAAGTAGAATCTGAGCTCATGGAGGTAAAGTAATTTACACCCAAGGGCCAGAGTTTATAAATAGAAGAGGCAGGATTTCATCTCAGGCTTGTCTGGCTTTAAAGCTTGAGCTCTTAACCCCTAAACTATACTGAGGAAGTGAGGGTGAAGGTGGAGATGAGGGGACAGATTTCTGCAAAATTAGAAAGAAATAATTAAAAGTGTGTACTAACTGATTGGATGCAGAAGGAGGGGAGTAAGTAGAAGGCACTGTAAGGATGAATCCTGGGTTTATGGCTTGGAAATTAGAAAATGTTGGTACTATAAAGTTAAATATGGAATAGAGCTGTTTGGGAATGAAAATAATGAATATAGGGATTGTGTGACAACATTCACTAGGAGATGAGTATACTGGTTTGGAGGTCAAGAGGAAGACCTGGACAAGAAATATATTTGCGAGTCTTCAGTTTTAGATGATCATTGAAACAATGAGAATTAAAAAGATGACATGAAAAATGGGGAGAAGAATGGAATTAAAACTAAATACCAACTAAAGGATAAGCAGGAAAGAATCCAGCAAAAGAGAAACCTAGGATAGATTGATTTTGAAGGCAAGTAGGATCAATGACATAGAATATCACAGTGTACCAAGAGAGAAAGAACAAGAGGTATCCATTAGACTTGGCAGAAAGTCATTCTACTCCCTCAAATCTTAGAAAGTCAAGACAAGAAATAAATTACTGTGAAAAGGGAACAATGGCAGGAGAGAGAGAGTTTTGATTATTGTGAATAGGATCTCCACATTAGTCAGAAATATTCTATTTTCCCAACACAGTCAAATAATGTTCCTAACTTGAGACTGAAACAGGTTTGATGATGTGGGACAGGGGTGAGGATAGTACAAATGAAGCTAAGTCACCCAAAAAGGAGAGCTCAAATTATTCTCTATTTTCATTTGGGGACTTTATGCTAGATTTTTTTTAATGCAGGGCAATGTCTAGATCTATCTAGTTTACAAGAAACACAAAGGATACAGGAACATGTTAAATAACACAAACCAGCCAATTCTGGATGTATATTTTAAAACTCCTCAACCAAATGAATTGCCAGGAAAAGAAAAGGAGAAGAAACTTCTTAACCTAAAAGAAGAAGAAAGAAAAGAGGGGAGGGATGGAGGAAACTAACCTAAGTAAATGCAAGTGTAGACCTTGTTTGGATATAGATTTAAACCAAATATATTATAGGACAGTCAGGGGAATCTGAATATTGACTGGATATTAGATGATATTAAGGAATTATGAGATAGGATTGGTTATTGGTTTAGAAAAACAGTGCTTATTCTTTAGAGAGGCATAATGAAATACTAATAAGATGGTATGGTATCTGGAATTTGCTTCAAAATAATTCAGTAGAGGGTCAAGAAAAGAAGAGAATGGTGGTGTACATAAAGCAAGACTGGTCATCAGTTTTGATAACAGTTTAAGCTGCTTGTTGGACATAGAGATTTGTTGTGTAATTCCTCACTACTTTGGTATATATTCAGAACTTTCCATAACAAAGTCATTTTTAAGTGGAAAAAAATGTAAGATATACTTCATCAGGTAGACTGTGCAAGTAGAAATAAAGAGAACTAGGAGAGAAGATTGATAATATTATGAAGTATATATATGCCCTGAATTGGTAAAGAAGCTATATTATAATAGGAGCTATTCTAACATATTATTATGCTGTCAATATTTAAAATACTAGAGCATGAACAGTAAACAGATCAATGGAGCAAAACAGTTCAAAACTGGATAAATTCTATACTTATCAAATTCTGCATATATAAATGTAGAATTTTAAATGTATGGAGAAAAGTTTTTTATGTCACTTTTTTCCTCAGAATCTCCCAACAAGTTATTAGTGCAGGACAACTGAATTCAACTTTATTTTTACTAAACTGGTCCAATGAATTGGCTTCTACCTTATTATCCTCAAAGTAAGCATAAGCCTTTTTAAGAAGAAAGCTTGGTTGGTATTATATTTACAACCCAAGATGTTCTGTTTACCTACATACATGTAAGTATTACACATCTTATTTAAAAGAAATGTCCTGAATTATGAGTTCCTTTCCTCAGGTTCCCTCCCTCAATGCTGTGAGGCATATGAGTACAAACCCAAAATTTAGAAACACAGTCTTTTAGATCTTAAAAGAAAAGAAAAGCAGCTACAAAAAGCAAATGGTGGTAGTGGTGATGTGGTGGTGATAACAACCCATGGTTGTTCAAGTATACACAGATCTCCATCATTAAAATACCGTTTTTTAAAAAACGAGTGTTTCTCGCATACACAAAAATGTTTCTATGAATCACACTCAGCTGTTGGTGAGTTTTCCTCCCTTTGTGTATTCCAAGCATGGTCAGCAGAAGATATAATTGTTGAGATGAAAAAATGACACAGACAAGACACACAAAAATGCCATCTCTAATTAGTGAGTGAATTCAAGTAGCTTAGGGAGAAGAAGAGGCAAAATTAAAAGGACATGGTATCTGATGAGATGAGGATGGATGGGAAGTGAGGAGTGTCTCACCTGGTCCTCAGCATAGTAGAAGTCTTTTTCAGTCAGAAGGACCTGATTTAAATCCAAGTTCTGGGGGAAATACAACGAGTGGCAGATTTTTTCTGTCCGTGAATTCCTGATGGAGAACCGCATGAGGTGGATTGTCAAGGTCTGGGGCAAATAGGTCAGCTTCGAGACCTGCAAAAGCAAAATCACCCTGGAGATGAAGTCCTAAAGCACTTCAAAAGGGTAGATTCAGAGAAATACCAGGGGCAATTGTATGTTTTTTTCCCCACAAAGAGGGGAGCAGAATGATGCAATACAATGGAGGGCTCCCATTTGCTGAGTCTGTCGAGCTCTCCAAAGCAGCCCTGGGTGCTGCACAGGTCTTGGAACCCAGGGAAACAATGGAGTCTGCTGTCGGGAGGTGGTCTAGGCCTGAGGGAAAAACTCTGGCTCCTGCTCTCTTCTTATTCTTAAAAGGCTCTGTTCCTCTCAATGATATGATCTCAGGAGCCCCAGGATCCTATCAGATACTAGTCTGATCAGGATTCCTGCCCTCAGCCATCATGAGAGACCCTAGGGGTTCTGTGAAGTCTATGAGGAAACTCCCTATGGGCAACCCTGAACTGGGGGTAGGATCTGGTTTCGGGGAGTGAATACCTTTTTCCCACGGGTCTTCTTCCCGCAGTTCTCACAGAAGCACTTGCTCTTGCTTGACAACTCCCTGGGCTGGAAGAAACAGTGAAGGGCATCCTCCTGTCCCAGAAGAACAAGAAAAAAGCAGGATCAGTATTTCCTATCTAGAGTACAGCCCATCACCCTACAGATGGGTATTTAAGTTTTTCTTCTGGTTTTCTCCATGTCCCTTTAATGTCTGGCCCAGAGTGGTAAACAGGCCAGGATCTCAAAAAGTACCTACTGATTGGAGAAAAACACAAGAGGGGGCACACGAAAGGGAAAAAAGGAGGTAAGAATTTTATTTTTTGCCAAATCAAAGTAGAACTTAGCCAGAACCATGCAAAGGAAATAAAAATGATTTTTTAAAAGCCAAGGGTAGACTAAAGAAGCAAGAGGGCATTGGCAACACTGAGTTGTGTGGGAACAGAAAATTCGCCAAGAGAAATCCCTCACCAGTGTTCTCAGGGGCTTTGAGTCCATATCAAAAAGAGAAAGGGGAAGGGTCAGCATGCAACTGTTTTGGCTACTCTCCACTGTACATTCAAGGCAAATCAAGGACTCCTTCATCTGGATTGTATTCAAGGCCTGCAGCCTCTTTACCTGCAAGAGAAAGGAGGGGAGAGGTAAGAAGGGTACAAAGCCATAAATAGACCAGGTCAGGCCAATTTCCAGAAGTTGGGGCCACTAGATAGAAACTCCAGAAATGGCAGCCACTGATGCTCTTTGTTATACTCAAAAAGGTGCAAAATAACAGTAATAATATTATGGACTTGTGATAAGCATTTTATATGATTTTCTCTTAATCCTCTCTACACACTACATTAATGATCACTGAATGAGTTAAATGAACAGCATCTTCAACTTCTGAGCTCTCTAGTTCTAGAATCTTACCAAGTCCACATCAGTGATTTGGTCCTTAATTAGGTTCCAGACTATATGGTAGAGTTGAGCAGCATCATGCTGGATAAACACTGGCCAAAGAGAAAAGCAATAGTCCAATTAGCAAGGTCACCAGGAACACTTCTCATGCCCTATGCCCTAGTTACCTAGATGCACATGAACACCACTGCATTTTCCAAACCTTTGCCCCATTTTCAGGCTAAGTTTCCACTAGAAGCTAGGTACCAGAACTGGAAAATAAGCTTGGTATTGATTTTTGAGTGTTTCTCTTAAACCTTAAAATTCAGTCCTACTGCACCTCACAAGTTTTCTGTCCTGATTTGCCATCTACCCCTAGTGGTCTCCGCTGAGGGACACGGCTAGGTAAAACCAAGAGTCAATAGTGGATTCTCTCCTATGTCTATGCCAAGCCCACACTCTCATTGGACTCCTATGGTCACTCATTTCTCTGTGCCTTTATGTATTTTTTTTATTCACTCCCCTAAAACTTGAGCAGTTTCTCAACAGTGATATTTGACCCAGGTCTTCCCAAAAGGTCTCTAGGAGAACAAGAAGGGAATGGACCATCATAGTGATAGGTGATACTGGCTAAGAAAAGGCAAGAATTAAGCAGTGAATTCTACATATGTTATGCAAGTAGATGTAAGTAATGTAGTGAGGAGGCAAAAGAACTAAAATGTTAAATCAAGCTATATTCAGAGACGGTAATATGCTGTTCAGCCCTGCAGGCAGGCTACAAGGAAACCTGCAGAACAAAGGACGATTTCTGCTGGGATTGCTAACAACCCATTTCCCTATTACCTGAAGGGAAAACAGGAAAAACAGAGTCTTTAAGTTGTTACCCTACACAAAATAAACATTCATTCCCTATGTCTAAAACTATAGGAAACCTATGAATCAAAGGCTGGGAATTACCAGCAGGCCTTTCACGTTACATGTTCTTACCTTTTCATGCTACATACTCCTATCTTTCCTCACTGTATGTCCATATCAAAGGAAAATGGGTAAACAAAGTCTTTAAACTGTAACTTACAGGAACTAAAGAATGATATATAAACTGAATTCCCTGGCCTTCGGAGATCCTCTCAGTGCCCTTACTCTCTCCCTCTCAGTGTCTTTCTCCTGGTCCTTCTCAGCATCTTTCTCTTGGTCCCTCTCAGTGCCTTTACTCTGTGTCTCTCACTGTCCTCATCTCTTTCTATTGTCTCTGTACCTCTGAGTCTCTCTCAGGCCCTCTCATTCTGCCTCTGAGAGGAGACCACGCTATGTCTATGGAGTGTTACTCCTTCTCTAATAAACTTTCCTTTTGACAATAACTTTGGTGTGTCTTTGAATTCTTTCTTATGTTCTGCCAAGAACTCACTTCTCTCTCAGTGCAGGGTTTGAATCTTCCCCAACTCAAGAGAATTTGCCCTGTCCTGTCTCATAAGGCTAAAATGATATATACAAATCTCCTGAGAAAGAAACCCAGGAAGACAAAGAAAATTAAAACACACTGAGGACTATCTTACAAAAGGACAAATGTCTGCCTAAATGCAAAGACATTGCAAGAAAGGGTGGTTATTATAAATGTGCTAAATATTCATATCTGCTATTTCAACATCATTTTATTTCTTCCCTGTACTTAATGTTTTGGGGTTCTATTTTGTTTTTGTTTTGGCCTGTCTCTCCTCTAAACTATAAACTCCATGAAGGCAAAGACTCTATTACTCTTATTCCTTTATCTACAGTACCAGCACAATACCTGGCACATAATAGGTAAATATTATATATTAGTTGAATAAATTAATTAATCCATATTCTAAGATAATAATCCCAAAACTTAAAGACAAACAGCAGGGTTGAACTGATGCTGTCTCTAAGGAATTATTTACAGAAGGCTGCCTGCTACAGAGCCAACACTGGACATAAAGGAAGTTGGATCACCTTGCCATGTGGAGACATTTTCCCTCATCTGACCATACCAGAACCAAAAGTCTCAATTCATCTGAGAAATACAGGGATATGTGCCCAACCCACAATTGACTTAACACCTGCTATATGCAAGGCATCACACATACCAGAGAAAGTTCCTGTCCCAAAGAAACCTGTATTTGAGTGGAGGACAAGTATCCATATAATCATAATTCAAAGAAGAATAAGAAAATTTCCCTAAGGTGTACAAACTTCTATGAAAAGTTAAAGGAAGGTAAGAATAAAGCTGGAACAGTAGAGTGAGAGTCTCCATAAATCTACTCCTCCATAAAAGCAATGAATATACTGGCAAAAATTGTCAAAATAAATTTTTTCAGAATTCTGGAAATTAACCAAGAGTTCATAAAACTCTTAGGAATGTTTATGCAAGAAAAACTACAACCTGAAACTTACTGGATTTCGTTAACCAATGAAAGAAAAAAAAGAAAGAAAAACTGCAGAATCTAAATAAAAAGAGCAGGGTTTGAGGCTTTTCCAATTTGGCCTATTCCATTTTCTTCTTTGCAGCTCTGCAGTGGCCTTAAAAACCAGAAACCTTGCAATTACCAGAGAGGTGGACTGAGACTGAAGATCCTCAAAAAGTCCCAAAGTGAGAGGATTGTCATTATTTGACCTGTCTCAGAGCTCAAAGCCCCATCCCCAGGGCATCTGTAGAAAACAGTGACAATTAATATTGCAGTTACCTAAGGCTGCAATACCAGCTGGGGCAAAAAAAAAAAAAAAAAAAAGGCCTGGCCAAAAACTTAAAAGAAAGATCTGAGGAATAGATGTTCATAGGAGACTTTTAAAAGCTCTAACTATTCCTGATGCTCTAGACTATTTGCATGTCCAGGTAAGAGCTGAGAGGGCTCCAGTCTCTTAGATCTGGCTGACTTTGAGGCCCTGTGCAAACAAGAAATTGTAAAAGTGGAATTTCTCCAGTTTCAGGGAGGCAGTATCTCCAGGTGCAAGCAGTAACTCAGTCACAGGGAGGAGATATCTCCAGGCGCCAGCTCCAGAAGTGCAACATTTCAAGGAGAAAATAATAAAACTGTCTATTAGGCCCTGTTTGATCCGAGAGTTCCCCGGATACATTTATCTTTGTACAAAACATTAATGGCTAACTTCTGCTTCTTGTAATCTGCTTATTCAAGGATGTAGTAGGAGGCTTTATAAACTGCCTCCTATAGAGAAGCTCGGGGTTGATCTCCTCTAACCCTGCGTGGTAGAGAGTCAGTCGCCGGCCGGCTAATAAAGGCTCATAATTAATCTCAATTGGCTCCGTGGGTCTCAGAATCATTCGCGCCACAACAAAATGAAGGCTTAAAGTGTCATAAACTGCCTCAGCTTTGAAGGTAACTCATTCTAAAAGGCCAACATTACCCTAAGACCAAAATCAGACAAAGTCATTACAAGAAAGCTACAGATCAATACCTATCATGAACATAGACTTAAAATCTACAAGAAAATATTAGCAAATAGAATCTACCATAATATAAAAGAATTATATACCATAGTCAAGTGAGATTTATCCCAAGTATGCAAGACTAGCTCAACATTTGAAAATAAATATAATCTATCTCATCAACAGGCTAAAAAAATTCACATGATCATATTAATAGATGCAGAAACGGCATTTGACAAAATCCAACACTCATTCATTATAAAAAATCTTAACTAAGAAATTGAAAGAAACTTCCTAAGTTAGATAAGGAACATCTTCAAAAACCTACAGCTATCATCACATATAATGATGAAAAATCTGAAGCTTTTCCACAAAGATCAAAAGAAAAGACAAGAAAGTCCCCTCTCACCACTCCTTTTCAACATGTTTTACAAGTTCTGGCTAATGCAATAAGACAAAAAGAGGAAATAAAAGTCATACTGACTGGAAAGGAAGAACTAAGTGTCCTTGTTTGCAGATGATATAATTATCCATGTAGAAAATCCAAAAAAAGTCAACAAAAACTCCTAGAACTAATAACTGATTATAACAAGGCTGCAGGATACAAGGTAAATATATAAAAGTTAATCACTTGCCTATATATCAGCAATGAACAAGTAAAATTTTAAATTAAAAACAATATCATTTACATTATAATCCATGAAAATGAAATACTTAGGTTTAGATCTAACCAAATATATATAAGATCTATATGAGGAAAGCTAAAAATTCTAATGAAAAATCAGAATAATTAGATAAATGGAGAGATATTCCATGTTCACGGATAGGAAGACTCTATATTGTCAAGATATCAGTTCTTCCCAACTTAATTTATAGACTCAATGCAATTCCAATCAAAATCCCACCAACTTCTTTTGTGGACATTGACAAATTGATTCTAAAGTTTATTTAGAGAAGCAAAAGACTCAGAAGAGCCAACACAAAATTGAAGGAAAAGCACAAAGTCAAAGGACTAATTTCAAACTTACTACAAATTTTCAGTAATCAAGACAATGTGGTATTGGAACAGAACAGAAAACCAGATCAATGGAACAGAATGGAGAGCCCAGAAATACACCATCATAAACAATGTCAATGGCTGACAAAGAAGCAAAGGCAATACAAATAGAGTGAAGACAGTCTTCACAAAATGGTGCTCGAACATGCAAAAAGAAAAAATGAATCTAAACACAGATCTTACATCCTTAAAACAACCTCATTAAAATGGATAAAAGACCTAAATGTAAAATGCGGAACTATAAAACTCCTAAAGATAATACAGGAGAAAATCTAGATGACATTGGGTTTGGTGATTACTTTTTCGATACAACACCAAAGTGTAATCAATAAAAAACTGGTAATCCAAACTTCATTAAAATTAAAAATCTCTGCTCTGTGAAAGATGCAATCAAGAGCATAAAAAGACAAGCAATAAAAGACATATCTGATAAAGGATTGTTATCTAAAATATACCAAAAAATAATCTTTAAACTTAACAATAAGAAAACAAACAACCTGATTTAAAAATGGGTAAGGAGCTTCCAGTGAAGATGGCAAAGTAGGTAAACTCTGTGCCTGCCTCCTCCTACAACCACATCAAAATTACAAGTAAACTACAGAATAGCCATTATTGGGAATCACTTGAGTCTGGCTAAACAGAGGTCCTACAACTGG